AGACCTGGCACTGGGAGGAGGTGGATAGCTTCTCATAGTCAGGAGTGTAGGAGCCGGTTGCAAGGCGTAGGCAGGCTGCAAGGTGGTCATCAGTCATTGTTGATCTGAACTTGGACTTGATGATTTTCATGTGCGAGAAAGCAAACTCACACAAATAAGCTGATCCAAAAAGAGCTGTCAGGTTCAAGGCACATCTTCTGAGATTGGGATACTTCTCCTCCACCAGTAGATTCCAGAACACTACATGCTCTCCAGGTTGAGCGGATGTTGATCTGGCTTTGATTTCAATGTCATTTTGCAATGTCAGAATCTCATCCTCAAGAGCGGAGCTTTCCAAGTCGAAAAGTGCTTTGACTTTGTCGGCAATGTCCCCAACATCAATACTTGCACCAAATGGATAACACATATAGCTGGCTACAGGCTCGATGGATGTAAAGTCAGTAAAACGCCTCTTAAACTCTGCCAAGATGCTCTGAACATGCTCCTCATAACGTGCACTGTCAAGCTGTGTCACACCTTTACCTTGTGTTGTAGTTCTGCTTGCATGTGAGGGAAGTTGCGCAGGTTACCACGCTGCAGCCTGCTTGAGATCAGCTGTAGCTTGCTTTTAAATGTTTTCACTGAACTCATCATGTTGAACATCTTTATACTTACCCTGCAGCTCTAAATTCAATTCATTGAGCTCGCCAGTGAGATCAGTGAGGACAGATAAATCTAAAAGCCACTGGTGGTCCTCTAGCTTTGTATGATAATCCACATGTTTTGAAAGCTTCAGGAAGTCCTTGATTTCAGGCAATAGCTCCGTGAATCTGGCCAAAAATTTACCTCTGCTTAACCACCTAACATCCGTGTGAAGCAGCAGGTCTGTGTGCTCAGCATCATTCTCCTCCAAGTAAGCACGGAAAAGCCTTCTCTGCAGACTCCTGGCCCGAATTGAACACACAATCTTCATCGCAATATCCATAACTTCTTTCATATTTAAAATCTTTCCACACAACGCTTGCTGGTGAATTATACAATGATAATTCAGGATATCCGGGAAATATTCACTTTCTTTCTTTATTTTTTAAGTCGTCAAAAAGGCTATCCGCTGCCTCGAGAAAGGCTTCCTTCACCATATCGCCGTCATTGAATGGCTTCTTGTATTTAGCAAGGACGTGACTGACGCGATAGGAAGCAATAGTTGCGGCCTTACTCTGGGTCTTCGGTTTGGTGAAGATTGATTGCCGCGCTGCAAGCTGTGCTTTCAAATCCCGCACTTTTGTGGCACGTAAAGGTGTTTTTGCAGGTTTTAAAATGCCGCTCCAGATTTCCTTTTTTGCCAACGCCACCGTTGCATTGCATATCAAACAAACAGGCTTTGAATGAGAATAAACAAAAAAATAATCTTCCTCCCATTCAGGGTGAAAATGGTAAGTCTTGGCTCGTTTCCCCTCAGCCATGTTTACGTTTAGGAACGTGTAACCGCTGTTCGCTAGCTTCTAGTTACTGTTGACAACTGTCAAACTCCTGTCATGCATGTCACGTGCGACCTAAAAACGCGTGGTTAAACGTGACCTATTTTTTTCAGTGGAAGCAACTGCCATGTGATTGGTTGATTAGATATTTGCATTAATGAGAAATTGAACAGGTGTTCCTAATAATCCTTTAAGTGAGTGTATATATATATATATATATATATATATATATATATATATATATATATATATATACAGTATATATATATATATGTATATATATATATATACACTCACCGGCCACTTTATTAGGTACCCCATGCTAGTAACGGGTTGGACCCCCTTTTGCCTTCAGAACTGCCTCAATTCTTCGTGGCATAGATTCAACAAGGTGCTGGAAGCATTCCTCAGGGAGTTTGGTCCATATTGACATGATGGCATCACACAGTTGCCGCAGATTTGTCGGCTGCACATCCATGATGCGAATCTCCCGTTCCACCACATCCCAAAGATGCTCTATTGGGTTGAGATCTGGTGACTGTGGAGGCCATTTTAGTACAGTGAACTCATTGTCATGTTCAAGAAACCAATTTGAAATGATTAGAGCTATGTGACATGGTGGAAGTAGCCATCAGAGGATGGGTACATGGTGGCCATAAAGGGATGGACATGGTCAGAAACAATGCTCAGGTAGGCCGTGGCATTTAAACGATGCCCAATTGGCACTAAGGGGCCTAAAGTGTGCCAGGAAAACATCCCCCACACCATTACACCACCACCACCAGCCTGCACAGTGGTAACAAGGCATGATGGTTCCATGTTCTCATTCTGTTTACGCCAAATTCTGACTCTAACATCTGAATGTCTCAACAGAAATCGAGACTCATCAGACCAGGCAACATTTTTCCAGTCTTCAACTGTTCAATTTTGGTGAGCTCTTGCAAATTGTAGCCTCTTTTTCCTATTTGTAGTGGAGATGAGTGGTACCCGGTGGAGTCTTCTGCTGTTGTAGCCCATCCGCCTCAAGGTTGTGCGTGTTGTGGCTTCACAAATGCTTTGCTGCATACCTCGGTTGTAACGAGTGGTTATTTCAGTCACTGTTGCCCTTCTATCAGCTCGAACCAGTCTGGCCATTCTCCTCTGACCTCTGGCATCAACAAGGCATTTCCGCCCACAGAACTGCCGCTCACTGGATGTTTTTTCTTTTTCGGACCATTCTCTGTAAACCCTAGAGATGGTTGTGCGTGAAAATCCCAGTAGATTAGCAGTTTCTGAAATACTCAGACCAGCCCTTCTGGCACCAACAATCATGCCACGTTCAAAGTCACTCAAATCACCTTTCTTCCCCATACTGATGCTCGGTTTGAACTGCAGGAGATTGTCTTGACCATGTCTACATGCCTAAATGCACTGAGTTGCCGCCATGTGATTGGCTGCTTAGAAATTAAGTGTTAACGAGCAGTTGGACAGGTGTACCTAATAAAGTGGCCGGTGAGTGTATATATATATATATTAGGGCTGTCAATGGATTAAAATTTTTAATCTAATTAATTACATACTCTGTAATTAATTAATCTAAATTAATCGCATACACAATCTTACAATGTTTACATGGTACAATTTCTGGTAAGCTAAGTTTTTATTATTATTGCTTGACACAAATTTCACGATTTCAATTTAATTTAATTCTTGTGATTTGATGCAATATTGACTCATTTGGATAAATATTAGGTAGGCCTTCACAAGATAGGCATTCATTTTTCTCAAGAAAAAAAATCTCACCCAATGCTGTAAAAATACAGAGAGCCATATCAGCTGGTAGTATTTAAGTTTAAAAATAGCTCAAATTAAATATAATGCGTGTTTATTACAAATAACAACTTTGATATAAGTAAAAATATAATACATATGTAATATAGTAGTAGGCTACATAAATTTAGAAAAACACTCTCTATAGCTCTTTTTTTATAGCCAACTATAACATGCTATCATATGGTCATGAAATGGCTTTCCTGAGGTAACTTAGGCTAAATGTTATGTGACATAATTGTTCTCCAGCTGTTTTATTGACCTCTTTTCGCGGTTGAAAAACACTGATTGATCGAGGAATATACATTTCGGTAAGTTTTAGGCTGCCCTACTGTATCTTTCAACATTGTTCATTCGTGTTTATTTACTATTAGCTAGAGATGATCGGTTCACGTGCCGCTATAGGGATCTGTCATGTCACATTTACAAGCGCCAACGGTATTTATTGTTTGATTTTCGTAATAAAATTTACAGAATCTGAGAGCTGAGATTTTTTTAATATCATAATAACGTCTGTGTTTTCTGTTTCCGTGTCCTCTCTTTGGTGCGCGATTTTTCTGTGCGTGAGAAAATGGTTGTGTGACGTGAGAGCGCGTGAAAAGTTACAACACACACACAAGCGCGCTTTCTCTCAGACACACTCACCGACTCACGCACACACTCCTGGATGCTTTGCATTGATGTGGTACTTTAGAGTTGACGAACTCCGTTTGTTATAAGTAAATGTTCCAAACAATCAAGCAGCGCGTTCTTGTCTCCCTCCTTTTTACACGAATGGTGGCTACGGCTAGAACGGCTCCGCAAAGGTCAAAACGAAATGGATTAATCTGCGTTATTTTTTTTTACGCGTTATTTCTTCTCAGATTCTGTTCCTTGAGGCGTTTTGACACAACGCACGTGGAGTGTTGCCTTGACAACAGTTGAGGATATATTTTGGAACAAGAATGGCAGCGGAAGTCTCTGAGGACACATCTGTGCAACCGTATCAGTTTGAACCGGAGTCGGACCAGAACAAGATGACGGCCGCGAAGAAGTTCGACAATTAAGACTCGAACAGGACATTTCTGAATGGTTGGTTAACATAATGTCACTTTTATCTATTTTTGCATGTACTGGCAGGGTAGAGTAGTGAGAAACGAACGCTATGTGTTTACTGGTGTATAGGTTAGTTCATTGACAGACAGATTGATGTTACAGTTAATGGTCATGAACAACTTTTTTTCACGATTTGCAAAGATTAATATAAAGGTTAATAAAACTTTACACTCACTTCTTCTGGAGGTGCAGCAGGGACATGAATAGTTGGTACCGATTATTTTTTCAGGAGCAGCTTCTTAGCAAAAAAAAAAAGTTTGTGTTGAAACGCTGCTGTCAATCAACAATTGTGGGAGGGGCGTCCGTTTTATTGACATCACAAAAACGAACGGCTCGATTTGAGGCAGGGGAAAACATATAAGGAGATTAAAACAAAAACACTGGATGGATTTTTATCATTATATGATGGTTGTGTACAGGCACTGCCAACACACATTTCAGTACAATCAACTTGTAAAAGTGCATGTACCATTATATGACCCCTTTAAAGAAAAATAAAAGATGACTAACTCATGCAACCGGCCCCAGACGATCCAAAAGGTCATCAGAAACTCCACCCTCTTACAAAACCTACCAGGAAGTGACAAGTCATTATTTCTACCTTTCATTTGTACTGAAAGCTAAAACGAGTCAGTGCTGTGAAGAACAGAAGAGGACACATTATATCAGAACTTTTGTGTATTTCTGAATGAACCCAGATTAGATTTTAATTATAATAGTTATTTACTCTTTAAACCAAAAGTTCAGAAAGTGAAAGTAAATTGTAGATCATTTGATATTTTACAAGACGAGGAAATGGATTCAAAATCTGTGGAAGAGCTTTCTTGTCCTGTTTGCTATGAAATCTTCAAGGTTCCTGTTTTTCTGTCCTGTAGTCACAGTATTTGTAAAGAGTGTCTACACCAGTTCTGGAAAACTAAAGAAACCCAGGAGTGTCCTGTCTGCAGGAGAAGATCCTCAAGAGATGATCCTCCAGTTAATCTCACATTAAAAAACTTGTGTGATTCATTGATAAAGGAGGGAAATGAGAAAAGTTCATCAGGATCTGAGGAGATCTGCAGTTTACACAGTGAGAAACTCAAACTCTTCTGTCTGGAGGACAAACAGCCTGTGTGTTTAGTGTGCAGAGACTCAGAGAAACACACCAATCACACATTCAGACCCATCAGTGAAGTGCTTTCATCTTACAAGGTAAGACAAATGTCTCTCATTTAATTAGCTAAATACAGAGCTAAACATAGAAACATTATTATTTGTGTACACAATAGACCAGTATTTTTGCTCAGACTAAACCTCTATGATTTACTACCGATACAAATTTCTGCATTAAGCTTAGACCCCTCTGATGTTCACATCTTCTTGAATGTAAGCATTGCACCAAAACATGTTTTAATATATATATATATATATACACTCACCGGCCACTTTATTAGGTACCCCATGCTAGTAACGGGTTGGACCCCCTTTTGCCTTCAGAACTGCCTCAATTCTTCGTGGCATAGATTCAAACAAGGTGCTGGAAGCATTCCTCAGGGAGTTTGGTCCATATTGACATGATGGCATCACACAGTTGCCGCAGATTTGTCGGCTGCACATCCATGATGCGAATCTCCCGTTCCACCACATCCCAAAGATGCTCTATTGGGTTGAGATCTGGTGACTGTGGAGGCCATTTTAGTACAGTGAACTCATTGTCATGTTCAAGAAACCAATTTGAAATGATTAGAGCTTTGTGACATGGTGGAAGTAGCCATCAGAGGATGGGTACATGGTGGCCATAAAGGGATGGACATGGTCAGAAACAATGCTCAGGTAGGCCGTGGCATTTAAACGATGCCCAATTGGCACTAAGGGGCCTAAAGTGTGCCAGGAAAACATCCCCCACACCATTACACCACCACCACCAGCCTGCACAGTGGTAACAAGGCATGATGGTTCCATGTTCTCATTCTGTTTACGCCAAATTCTGACTCTAACATCTGAATGTCTCAACAGAAATCGAGACTCATCAGACCAGGCAACATTTTTCCAGTCTTCAACTGTTCAATTTTGGTGAGCTCTTGCAAATTGTAGCCTCTTTTTCCTATTTGTAGTGGAGATGAGTGGTACCCGGTGGAGTCTTCTGCTGTTGTAGCCCATCCGCCTCAAGGTTGTGCGTGTTGTGGCTTCACAAATGCTTTGCTGCATACCTCGGTTGTAACGAGTGGTTATTTCAGTCACTGTTGCCCTTCTATCAGCTCGAACCAGTCTGGCCATTCTCCTCTGACCTCTGGCATCAACAAGGCATTTCCGCCCACAGAACTGCCGCTCACTGGATGTTTTTTCTTTTTCGGACCATTCTCTGTAAACCCTAGAGATGGTTGTGCGTGAAAATCCCAGTAGATTAGCAGTTTCTGAAATACTCAGACCAGCCCTTCTGGCACCAACAATCATGCCACGTTCAAAGTCACTCAAATCACCTTTCTTCCCCATACTGATGCTCGGTTTGAACTGCAGGAGATTGTCTTGACCATGTCTACATGCCTAAATGCACTGAGTTGCCGCCATGTGATTGGCTGCTTAGAAATTAAGTGTTAACGAGCAGTTGGACAGGTGTACCTAATAAAGTGGCCGGTGAGTGTTTATATATATATATATATATATATATATATAGAAATGTCATGGGTTATTAATATTTTTTCAATAATAATATGTGATTTAAGACATCAAAAAGTGAATGATACTAACATACTTTAACTTTCTGTATTTGTATTTACACAACCACAAATATACACCTGCATGTATATTATAATTAAGAATTGGCCATTGCAAAAAAACACATTTCTTTGGTGAAAACACGATTTCTTGATGTTCTTCCTTTCCAAATTAAATAATTAAAAAATATATGTTGTTTAATTTTCAGGCACAAATGCTTCCTGAGAATGATCCATTCAACATACAGTATAAATAATGTAACAATAAAAACAACCAGACATACAATGTTTAAACCTCTTATAGCTGCATAAGTTTCACAGATTTTCACTTTAACCTGTAGGAGGAATTTAATACAGCACTGACGTCCTTACTAAACAAGCTCAAACATGGAGAAGAAATGAAAGAAGAGTGTGATGAAACAATTCAACACATCAAGGTGAGGATATAAAGAGTTAAATACTCAACATTCACACACAGAGTTTATTATGGACATTATAGGAGTGTGTGTTCATACAGAGCTGACTGAAGTGAATGTGATTTGATTTCAGTCTCAAGCTGAGCACACAGAGCGTCAGATTAAAGAAGAGTTTGAGAAGCTTCATCAGTTTCTCAGAGACGAAGAAGAAGCTACAATCACTGCACTGAGGGAGGAAGAGGAGCAGAAGAAGCAGAGGATGAAGAAGAAGCTGAAAGAGATACACAGACACTTCTCATCTCTTTCACACACAATCAGAGACATGGAGAAGATGAAAAAAAGACAATGACATCTCATTTATAAAGGTTACAAATCAATCTGGCTTCATTCTCTTTGCATAAAACAACTTGTATAGAGAGACTCATTGACAGTGAGAGTGTTTGATAAGATATTAAAATGTTTTCAAACTCTATATTTTCCAGAACTATAAAGTCTCGATGGAAAGGTAAGTGAGCTGCTCGTATTTCTTCTCTCAGTGGATCTGAACTCAAATTCACTGCAGTTCTGACTCCTGAATGTTCCTCAGAGTCCAGATCTCACAGCCGGATCCACGGATGAGTTCTGGAGCTTTGATTCATGTGTGGCGTTATCTGGGTAACCTGCCGTTCAGAGTCTGGAAGAAGATGCTGGAAACTGTCCAACACAGTGAGTCTCAGCAGATTTGACACCAGAAGATGCAGAAGATAGTTCATTTCAGGTACATTTCTAATACCATAACATTTCATCCTCTAATCTGATGTTATTCTCTTTGCAGCTCCGTTGACTCTAGATCCAAACACAACACATCGTCGTCTCACACTCTCTGCTGATCTGACCAGTGTGTCATACAGTCGTGTAGATAAAACGCTCCCTGATAATCCAGAGAGGTTTGACTATTATCCATGTGTCCTGGGATCTGAGGGCTTTAACTGTGTTATTATGCAGTGTTAATGCCAACTGCATCAATTTTGGCACAAGTGTGTATTTTTATTGAAATTTTCTTATTTCACCCTCAATTCCTTTCATAAATCACTGGGTAAAAAAAACACTTATACACTCAGGACCTTAAGGACAAAAATGTCCCCATTGAAACCCATTAAAACTATAAAGCAAGTACTCACTTTGTTCCTGTTTTCTGCATGATATAATCAATTGGATATATTATTGTGTAATAATTATGTGTGTGTTATTGTGAGGTTTGAATGTATGCACTAAAATAATTGTGTTTGTGCATGTAATATTTGATAAAGTAATATTTTACTAGTTATTAATAATAAGACCAGTCAAAGACCCAGAACCAGAATTATAATAAATTGAAGATTTTTTTTTAAACTGAAGATAGTTTGCAGTTTCATCAGGTAGAAGTTGGCTTCAAGACTTACAAGGAGTTCGTAGGCCGCCCCGCTTACAGTTACAAAGATCACAGCGATTATACCCTTCACCCAGGTCTAAGCTATGTCCTTGCTTCAGGTTGAATGATTCTCATTGGTTAAGAAATAGATAAACATAGGAATTTCCACACATATACAGATAGACTGAAGCATATCTCCATTGATTATGCAGCTGACACTCGGACCCTGAAGTTAGGCACGTCATGAGCTTTCAGGTCACAGATTTGGTTTGCTGGGCGCCAACATGACCAGAACAACAACTCAGTCAATTTCCAATAATGCCAGTGGTTCCAAAACCTGCAACCAAATAGACTAACACACACATTTGGCCAGGCTTTATCAAAATATTCTCAAAACATCAAGATAATACGCAGGACTCTTTAATATAACGCAGTAAAGTAAGGCTTTAACTGAGAAATGTCCCCTTAAACTATAAACTTCAATGACCCCTGTGACCATAGTTGTCAGAGTACCCTAGAAAAGCAGATTTTGATACGTTGAAGACCTTTCTCAAACAAAAAACATCTTTCCATACCTCATTTCTAGAAGCCGGGCTAAATGAGCAAGCACTGTTGTTACATTTGTTACGTTCCCTCCTTCTAGTCTAGGGAAAAAGAGGGACTAACAATAAATGAAAGATGTAACAAAAAAAGAAAGTGAGAAATCTCCTTTTCGTCTATCCCAGCTCTATCTGTATTTCACTTTTATATCTAACAGATTTACACAACACCCTTTGAGTTTGACCTGATCATAAAAGGAACTTGAGGGAGATTGATTAAGTAGTTCTTTATTTATTTTCTTGAATAGAGGCCAACAAAGGCTTGCTCAACATATTTACAAAATAAGCAAGGGTCAGTAACAGATAAATAAGTTTAAATAATAACCAAATCGTCAGGAGAGGGCGAGGCCAAAATAACAAACAAAATGGAGACTTCCTAAGGTTTAAACCCAATTAAATTTCCTAACAAAAAGAAGATGAAATCAAAGACAATTATCTTACCTCTCTCCCTGACTAACAAAGAATAAACAGGAAAAAAGTTTAGGAGTAGATACTCCAAACAAATTGGCACCCGTCTCCCTACACGGTTGAACAACTTAAACTCACACAGTCTAAGAGCTCGTGGTACTCAAACACAGATCTCACAGATAAAGTTCTCTTACGAGAGGTTCTCTCGTATTGCGTAAGTTTAGCTTACGCTACGGGAAAGATTCATCTTCTCGAGATATTGAAGCCAAAAAATTATCCTAATTTTGTATTCATTGTCAACGCAGTGCAGCAGCTAGCAGACCTAGAGCAGGCAGTCTAGCGTGCTCATTGGCTGCCCTGCAGGCAACTGCTGCAGCCTACCAGTGAGCCCGGCGTGACGTCACGCCCAATGAAGGGCGCTCGCGCCTTCATAGCGTCACAGCCCGCCAGAATGGGCGTGGCTTAGCGTATAAAAGAAGGGGCTCGTAGGCTGAATTCCCTGATTTTTCGACTCTTCAGCGAGCTCTTCGCATCGCTGGATTGAGGGAAGCCACCGTCGCCGTCGAGACAGCGAACAGCCAGCCAGGACAGCGCTGAGGAAGCCGGCCGTCTTCGCCACCTTCAGCCATCCGTGCGAGCTACGCTATCCGGCGACGTATCCTTTTTACATTGTTGTTGTATTCTCTTTTCTCTTACTCCTAAAAGAGCAGCGAGCGTCTTTTTCAAGATGCCTCGCACTTCCTGTGGACAGCCGGAACCTGTGGCCACAGCGACGCGCTCGCCGGAGAACCTCCCTCGAGCCTCGCTCTCGCCTTCCCCGCCTCTCTTCACCGACGCGCAGCTGCCGCTCACGAGCCTCACTGCCGTCGCGTCTGAGGATGAGGTTGAGGGACACGCCACAAGGGACTGCTGTTCTAACCGCGGCTAGCTTCCTTTACGTTACAAGGAAGCTACCGCGACTCCGCAGAAGCAGTCACTCCGCCCTTTGTGGGACCGCGCAGTGATAAGCGCCGTTCCCAAAGGCAGCCGGAGCCTGTAGCCACAGCGACGCGCTCGCCGGAAAGCCTCCCTCGAGCCTCGCTTTTTCACCTTCCCCGCCTCCCTTCACCGACGCGCAGCTGCCGCTCACGAGCCTCACTGCCGTCGCGTCCGAGGACTGCTGGACTGCTGTTCTAACCGCGGCTAGCTTCCTTTACAAGGAAGCTGCCGCGCGCGCTCTTTGTTATCTGCTCGCGCTACTTAAGCTTATGTTGTTTCCCCCGTGGCTCAGTGGCTAAACTCTAAGCTTTCGCGCCAGAGACCCGTGTTCGATCCCGGCTCTCGCAGCAGATACAATTTATGCAGCTCTCCTCTCTGAGCTCGCGACCAGCTTTCTTACATACAGAAAGCGAGCGCGCGCCCCGAGCGACACGCACACGAAAACTGTGATGACGCTCTCTCTCTTATCTGCTCGCGCCAACTAAAGCTTATGTTGTTTCCCCCGTGGCTCAGTGGCTAGACTCTAAGCTTTCGCGCCAGAGACCCGTGTTCGATCCCGGCTCTCGCAGCAGATAAAATTTATGCAGCTCGCGCGACCAGCTTTCTTACGTACAGAAAGCGAGCGCGCGCCCCGAGCGCATGCGTCACCGGCGAAAGAAGGAAAGAGTGGTTTTTTGTCCCGCCGAGGCTTGACAAACCCCCTCTTTTTCTCAAACATTTTCCAGCTCCTCCTAGTTCGAGCGGCTGGTAATGTCTATACTGCAGTAGAGAGCCTGTTATAACACGCACGCCTGCAGACAATGCCGACACGCACACGAAAACTGTGATGACGCTCTCTCTTATCTGCTCGCGCCAACTAAAGCTTACGTTGTTTCCCCATGTGGCTCAGTGGCTAAACCTTAAGCTTTCGCGCCAGAGACCCGTGTTCGATCCTGGCTCCCGCAGCAGATAAAATTTATGCGGCTCTCCTCAGCAAGCCGCCGTTTTCGGATCCGGCTCACGCCGATGGTGTTTTTTAGTGTAGAAAGGTGCCCACATCTCGGTGTTCACCCCTACACACAAGCACAACACTTCCCGTGTTATTCACAGAACAGAGCCCACTCCCTTAAAGCGGGAAACCGCTCGAGTGTTGAACGTAGGATATGTGTCCACGAGTTCGTGCCCATGCCTATTTTTCTGCCCGCTCTATCACTAAAGACTCATATCAAACTATGAGAGAGAAAGACGCGCGTGTCCCGCTGCGGCCGGACCGCCGTCAAAGTTTATTTCCCTGTCAGTCCCCTTCAAACAGGCTACTGCAGTGGTCCATTTAGCAGCCAACGAGCCGGTTCATTTACCCTCTCGCCTGCACACATACGCCGTCTTCACGGCGACCCAGAGAAATCTCAAAAGAGTATAGTGCCGTTGGTGTCTTAAGTGTAGTGAAAGTGCCCACGCCCCAGTGTTCACCCCTACACACAAGCACAACACGTTCCGTGTCACTCACAGAGCACACTCTCATAAAGCGCAGAAAAGCCGCTCGAGTGTTGAGTGTGAGAAATGTGTCCACAGGTTTGTGCCCACTGTCTGCCCGCTCTGTAACACGGTCAATGAAGCAGGTTATGAATGTAAGTCTCGTGCCCGCCAGAGAGCGTTCACGCTTACTAACACACACTTCTCCCCGGGCGCCGCCCGCGCGTCTAAGTGTTATCACAAGGCGCAGGGCGTTAATAAGACGCTCCCCATCCTATTCGATCGGGGCGTCAAATACACTTGTAAGTCTCGTGCCCGCGCACACGCGTTCACGCTTACAGAAAGCTTCTCCGCCCAGAGCGCTGCTCGCGCGACAAAAAGTGGAAAGAGAATGTTCCCCATCCCTTATGATTGGGACATTCCACATAAATCAGCCGGTTTCGGTTTTCAGCGAGCAGCCATTGCCCAGAACCGAGAGCGCGCGCGCCACGCTTTCGGCTCCGGTTCAGTTTTCACAAGCCCGCGAATGGCGGCGATCTGAACCTGGAGGCCATTCGCCCCCTAGCGGCTCACGTAGCTGCATGGGAAGCTATCCCAAGGGTTTCAGAATGGGTGCTGAGCACAATAAAGCATGGCTATACACTTCAATTCATTCGCCGTCCCCCGCGCTTCCGAGCCCGGACCGCGACGATAGTGAATGCGGAAGTAGCACACCTACTTCACGCAGAAATAGCAAAGCTGCTGTGCAAAGGGGCAATAGAAAGGGTACCGCCTTCTCTGAGCGAGTCAGGCTTTTACAGCCGATATTTTCTCGTACCCAAGAAGGACGGAGCCTTCAGGCCCATCCTCGATCTGAGACATTTGAACAAGGTGCTTGCGAAAAGACCGTTCAAAATGCTTACGACCAGAAAAATCCTCGCGCACGTTCGCCCGAGGGACTGGTTTATTTCTCTAGATCTGAAGGATGCCTATTTTCAGATTCAGATAATACCCCGTCACAGGCGATTTTTGAGATTCGCCTTCGACGGTCAGGTATATCAATACACCGTCCTGCCGTTCGGCCTGTCTCTAGCACCCCGTACATTTACGAAGTGCATGGACGCGGCGCTCGCCCCCCTGAGAAGTCAGGGGCTGCGAATAATGAACTACCTGGACGATTGGCT